CCATGCTAATCAGTTTGAGCTGCCGACCCCAAGTACTCATGCTAGAGGAAAGTAATCCAAGAGCTGGGCAAAAGCTCCAGGCTAATGGCCCTCGGTTCCGTCCATGCTGAAGGGCCTTGGCCAACCAGCAGCGCCAACTTTGTTCTCTCTACTGATCTTCAATAGGCGCTTCCATGCCGTTGTTGCCTGGACTTGGCTTCTAACGTAAGTGTCCTAGGTCATCTCTGCTACTGTGACAAAATATCCTGACAAAAGGCTAGGAAAATCAGGAAGTAAATGGTTTATTTGGATTATAACTCCAATTTACAGTCCGTCATTTGGGGTTAGGTCAAAGCAGGAACCAAGCAGATAGTCACAGGCATCCACTCTCAAGAGCAGAGAGAAATGAATATACCCAAGCTATTTGCTTGCTTTTAAAGCTACTTTTCACTCTTACATAGTTCAGGACCCAGCCTAGGGAATGGTACCACCAAAGGAGCTCTTGACACCCACACTTGGAGGTCCTGCTCAGTGCTCAGGGGCCAGGGTTTTCACTGGACCATGTGAAGCTTTATGCCTAGATGTTAATAAACATCTTTCATGTGCTTGGAAGGCCCTCTCTACATGTTTTCATGATCTTGCAGTAGGGGTGGGTGAGATCTAGCCAAGAATTAGGGGGCTTCCATTAGTGACGTTATAAATATTCATATTTTGAGGAAGTAAACAGTATATAAGACAATTTGGCTTGAGAAAGACACAGCATATTGAGCCCATCAATGTACCCATAAATAAAACAATTACATAGAAAGACCAGTTTCTGAGGGGGTCTTCCACCTCCACCACGGCAAACCTAGTTCTGTGTTGATGCTCAGTGCCCATCAAGCACACAGTCAAATGTGGTCCTCCACCGGGCAACTTTTTCCACCTAACAGTTTTCTCTTCACATCTGGCTGTGAGGTCCCTCTCTAGCTTCTGGTCTGTGCTGTTCTATGGTGGCTCTCTCCAGTGTTTGGTCTTAGGACTCCACACTCTAAGAAATTATTGAAGCACCTAAAAAGATTTTATAGTGTAGATTTCCTCTCTTCATATTTTATTCTATTAGAAATAAAACTGAAGTTTGAAAATATTTACTTGCAGAATGCATTTCGAAGCAACAGTAATACACCTGTTATATATTAGCCTAACCTTATTATGGGAACTCTCTGTCTTCAGAAAAATGACAAGCTCTGGCCAGAAGACTGCCGGCGCTGTCTGTGTTGCGAATTGTCTCACCTGTGATCTTCCACCTTTCCCCAGTGCATTAGCTGCTGTGACTCAGCAGTGTGAAGAAGTGTGGGAAGTGTGGATAATGGGAACAGCCTCTCAGGAACGTAGCTGTTCTTCCTTGATACACCAGTGCTTGACAAGTGGTCGCTTCCAAAGGCCACTGCAGCTCAGTCTGAAGCCACAACCAAACAGCACTGTGATCATATTAAGGCCTGTTGATCTAATTTTGCACTTTCAGTGGAGTTTATTTTTAACCCTTGCATGATTTTATAATAGTAGACACTGTCCTTTGTAAAATATCTTCCTTAAGTTATATGGCCTCACAAAATGATCAGTGTAATCACACAATATTAAAATTATAGTCAATAATATTGATTACCAAAACGTCTGGTGGATAAATTTTTTTTCCAAATTAATTTTTGGCTTTAAATCTTGTGGTTTATCACTGGCAACATATATAACAGCTATTAAAAAATCGTGTGTGTGTGTGTGTGTGTGTGTGTGTGTGTGTGTGTGTGTGTGTGTGTGTGTGTGTGTAGGTGCTAGTAGAGGCCAGAAGATGGCATTGGATTACTTGGAGCTGGTGTTACAACCGGTGAACCACCTGAAATGGGCACTAGGAACCAAACTATCATCCAGCTGTACGAACTCTGAACTTGCCTTCATCCCAGGAGGTTTTCCTTTTTAAAAACATACTAAGTAAAGCGCTTCATTACGGCATTGCATACATGTTATTATACTGTGTCCTTCTTTATCCTTCCCACGGGACCTTCACTCAAGCCAATCCTCCTTCCCCAGAGTCTTCCTCTTCACCAAACGTTCCCCTCTTTTCTCACATAGCACATGCCTTTCATTACATGGAGAACGTTGGATTTGGGGGTTTCTATCTTTTGATGGGTTTGGCTTTTGTAAGTGCAGTCTGCATACTTAGCTCTTTAATTGAGGAATCTTAATGTAAGTTTTCTTTCTTTAATTTTGTATAGTCTAAGAATTTCATACATATATGTTGATTAGTCACCCTCTAATTCATTCCTCATTTCTCCCTACTTGTCCTTCCCAACTTCATGTGCCTATCTTAAAAGATTTACTTATATTTTACATGTATGAACATTTATGTTTATGAGCATGGTGCATGATGTATGTGCATGGTATCTTTAGAGATTAGAAGAGGGCATAAGGTCCCCAGAAACTGGAGTTACAAGCAGTTGTGAGGTACCATGTGGATGCTGAGGACTGTACTTGGTCC